TGTGTGGTAAAATAATTGGAAAAATAGGGGTTTCCAGATATTTGAAAATTTTAAATTATTTAAGTGCTCAACAAAATAATTAAGTTTCTTCATCAAAACTAAAAGCGTCTGAGGAGATTTAAAAAGATTTTTGTACGGGATTGAATCCTTTCTAAAAAATACAACAATATTTATTAACAAGTAACTTTTAAACAAAAAACATAACCGACTTCAATTCGTATATAAAATTTTAATATTTTAAAGACTTAAACCAAATTAGTAAGGGACCACCTGTGAGGTAACTTCTTCATCCTCTCCTCTCCTCTCCTCTCCTCTCCTCTCCTCTCCTCTCCTTTATTAAAGTAACGCGAAATTTTCTTGGTACACTTCACGTGGCCTTACTCTATATAGAGGACCTATACTACAAAGAGAAGCCCTGAATGGGATAAAATGAAATTATTTAATCACAATCCGATAAAGCTATAACAAAATAAAACCGGCTTATTTATTAATTTTCTTAAAAATAAAACAAATAAAAACGATTCAGCCACCTTAATATATGCATACATACATTTACGTTACGTTTACGCTTTGTTTATAAATTTTGGCACATTTTTTATGCGTGTCGTGTTTCGCCGGAAAGAATGCCAACAAATGACGGCTAACCGTAAGCCTGGCTGTGATTGCACGCATTAGTGGCGACAACAAAACCAAAACGTGGTGACGCTCAATCAAACTGCCGCCAAAAGGCAAACGAAATGCGTAGAAATTGCAATTGCTTGACTTTTACACATATTATTTCTCCCATTTCGAGTGGATTTCAGAATGAAAACCTATGGCTTGTGTATTGAAAGTAGGCTTGCCATCTTGGCGGGATTTGGGTGAACTGTCCAGGTATTTGGCTTCATCACCAGAGCCCAGATTTGCAAAAGTTTGTCCAATAAAATTAAAAAAAGGAAAAAAAAAAATTTTCAACAGCTTGGAAAATGCTCCTAACTACTCTGGCTGACTGTTAATAGCAATAACAAGTTTGTATATGTGGAACTAAAATTTAAACTTTTTTTATTTTTATTTTTATTTTCGCAACATTAGAAAAAAATCGAATACAAACATTACAACGTTTCAATTGATAGTATAAAATCCTCTACTAAAAAGATCAAATTTCTTGGTATAATAGGAATTGAAACAAAAAAGTACCCATAGTGGACGCCTTGAAATTATTATTTCTTTTGTCTTTGGTGTAAAAATGTATTATATTTCTTATACGTATATTTTTTCTTGTTTTTATTGATGGCTAAATTAATATACAATAAATATCTATTTGACAGCGCTATGGTTATGGTTATGGTTATTTAAGGGTAGGTATTCAGGCCCATTGCACCGCGACCAAATTTCATCTATTGTTCCCTCTATGTCAACTTTAGTTGTTCAGTATACACAAGAATTGTATTAACCCCTGCTGCGAAATCTCATGGGGTCGATATCGCTGAGCGTATAGTCGTTTAAAAATCAGCCTCTGCGATGAACTAGTATTGGGCAGCTGGTAATGAGGTGTTCCACTGTTTACTCTTCTTTACCACAGAACCTGCAGATATCTGTACTACAGAGACCAAGCATATGCATCAGTTTTTACTTTTGTTTTATTTAACAGCTTAATTTCCAAGGGTAAAGAATGTAATAAAGCATTTCACATATTTTTACAAAAAAAAGTTTTAATTGACGAACAAAAACTTTTTTAGTTTGTAGGGAAAGGCCATAATATTAATAGAATTGAAAAACGTTTTGTTATTCTTAACAACCAAATATTATATTAACAATCGATTTTGCTGAGCTCCCAGATCAGCAAACAAAAATTGATCGGTCACTTTCAAGTTGTTAGTACGCGCTACAATTTATGTAAAAATCTTATCCCGAAGGCATAAAAAAAATTGTGTTACATTTCAGGCTTCTACAGGTACAGCATCTTAACTTGGAGATTTACTTTTTTATACTTTTCATGAGCATGAAATGGTACCGTAACTTTAGTCCGTTATTTGAAAGTACCACAAGCCGAAGCCATTATTTATTTCGTTTTATTTGCAGCCAACTGAAGCTCCTTCATTCTGAGGAGTAGGCGTGCTTTTGTAGGGGGTTCTTGTTGGTTCTTTGAACAAGCTATCATAGGTTTCGAAAACTTTTCTCTAAATTTATTCAATTTCCCGTGCGTTTAAATAGGCTTGGGTTTAATTTCTCGATAAGTACTGTATATCCAAAATGTCCGCCATCGGATTCGACCTACTTATTTGTCTACATTTCTTAATTCTTATAGAAATAAAGTAACAAACCATCATTGGTTTCCAAACTTCTTAAAGGGAAAGGTTTTACGTTGAATCTATATACTTGACTATTTCACTGTAGCTTACCACAAATATTTTCATCTGAAGGGACCAATTCGCTCGCGCTCAGAAAGGTGTTGTCCTTACAATAGCTTCGCAAAAATCCACCGCCATCAAGCCAAGCATTGCCACATATTTTGCTAGTTGACATTTGACAGTTTTGAGTTTAATGGCGCATGACAGATGGTTATGACTATCTAACTACATACAATACAAGAGCCAATCTGTGAGTGCGATGCTTCTGGAGTGTGATAGCAAAATGATTATTGAATTTTAAATGGCATTAAAAGTGAAAGCGAAAGTGGCGTGTAGAATATTGCAGGGATTGAGTTGGTAATAAAAAAAGGAAAGAAAGACGGAATGAATGAATAACGTTTTATTGCCGAATAAATTCTAGAGCAGGGGGGCGGTGGTTGAGATTGCAGACTAGAGAGGTTGTGGTTGACTCTCTTAACTCCCCAAAAGGGAATGTACCATTAAGTGCAGGGAATGCCAATTGTAAATCGTAAATGTGAATAGAAATTGCTGTTTTCTTAACATTTGTTGACTATTTTTTGTTACGTTTATCGCGAAAATACCCTTCTTGTAAGATTCCTTTTTTTCCTATAGATTCCTATTACTAAATATTTTGTAGGGATAGGTGGTTTCTCGAAAATTTTCCGAAGGATTTTTATATTTTCTCAATAAACAGTAAATAGCTTGATGAATGGCTTGTGTATTGACCCTGGCAAATAGATCAATCCAGCAGCTGACTGGCATACTAATGAGGGATAATCAAGCGCGGGCAGAAAAGTATGAAATGAAAGCAAACACTACGAGGAATTTGAGCGCTCATATCTTTTGTTAAATAAATATAAATATACACATGCTTGCCCTTTAAAAAAATTTTAGTAGTGGTTGAAGCGGAGACATATTTACATATGAAAATATAGTTTTATATTTTCCCTCAAAGCGGATGAAATATCGATACACACCTATGTCTGTATATGAAGAATCTATAAATTATGTTTGTGAATGAAGAGATAGCGTAGAGAATGCGAAATATGCAAGAATGAGGAAAATGGTTGGCATAGGAGAAAACTAGGCTTGCGAAGTGCGCACTTTCGTGATAGCAATTTTAGAGCTTCATCAAATGCAAAGCTTGATAGCCGTGCCAAAAAATTGAAGCTTTCTAATAAATTTTTTAGTTTTTATGGTAAAAATGTAAAAGAATTAATATATGAAATATGGGGCATTCCAAAGTGACGGGATGGACACTTTAATTCGTTATTGCTCAAACTTTCAGGAAATTCTCTTTAACTGTTGATTTGACAAGTGTCAAACTATTAACACTTGAAGTCTGATATCAGTTTAATACGAAACTGAAAAAGAATAAAACTTAATTATATAATTTACGCATAAATTTAACATTTTCCAATCGTGACGGGTGGGACAACGATGACATCCACTTCTCTGAGGTTTCGCGCCCATTTTCCAAAATGCGTCAGACTGCCTCTCAATGGTTTTACCTTGTTATGTTTTTATAATGATCACAATAATCCCTTGATATTGATATGATAACATTGATATGCAATTTTTTAAACCAGCCTTGGTTACCTTTAACGCTAACGATTCTGAATTTAAACTTTGAAATGTCATTCAACATTTTTGATAATTTTTGTTTTCCAATTTCCATCTTGGTTCAAAGTAAAAGTCTTGAACAGCGCTAAATCACGCTTGTTGTTAGAGTAATATAAAATTGTGTGAAGGATGGACAGCTGCATGCAAATCACGAAAAATGCAATATACATAAATATAACGCATTTTTCGAATTGTGGGGTTACATTTTTTTCGTTGTTAAACAGGGGAATCGTGTTTCTTGTCTCAAAATTTATAATGTTTGGTGTAATAAAATATACAAGCATGTTTTCTTTTTCAAAGAACACTATTTTGACAATTTTTTTGTGTTCTTAAACTGAATTAATATAAATCTGATCTTTTTGAAAGAAAAACAGAAGCTCGGGTTTTAAAGGAAAAGGTTGTGTTTGTTTTAAGGAAAAATTAAACAAAGCAACGAAGTCTAGACGTTAGAATGCACAGCTGATAGATCGGAGATCGCCACATCTTCTCATTAGACTTCCTTCTATACTTCACCGGAGTAGAATCCACATCGCTCAATGTGTAAAGCCAGCACGACAATCGCTGAGCTAAACTTTCGATTGAGTGCTGACGTTTCACATCGAGTAATATCGGTTCACCTCCCGCTGAAATCTATAAAGCAGTCTCGTTTGAAGATGTGGTGGTCACCGAAGTAGCATCCATAACTTCTACTAATACTGGTATAAAAATCATAAAGGTAGCCGAGTTTTTAGGTGTGTGTGTACTTATATTTAGTTGGGCCATGGTTTTATTCCTTCGACGAGAGTAACAAAAGTGTTTTTTTTTCAAAAGTGAGTCCTGCCCCGGCTAGTAATAGCAAACATCCGAGCGAAAGTGCTTCTGCACAAAAAACCGTTTGAAATCAAGATCAAGGCGGAGGAGAAGCTCGACCAAACACTTAACAAACATGTGAGCGCCACAAATTTATTTATTTTAATTGAATATTAAACAAACCACTTAATTTATTTACATCACTTAAATTTGTATCTCAAAAATATTTGTACTCACCGCACGTGCATCAATTGGCGTGCCAAAGTGGCTTAATCCCAAAAGGATGACCAACCAAGACTGGACCGTTGCAACGCTATGCAGTGACATTTTGTGCGATCTTTAAATAGTTGGCTGCAGCAACAAACGAGAATTACAATTTCACTATGACAAGACACACAATAATAAATGTATTTATGTACTAAGTAAATGTGAATGCAATTGCAAAGCAATAATACTTAGCGCAAGCAGCACAGTTGAATAGAAGGACACAGCAAATAATTTTTGGCAAAAAGTCAACTTTCCTTTTTTTTAACTTTTAGTTGAACACCAAGATTTTTTCGTAACACTTTTTCAAATTTATTCCTTGTTATTTTTGTTGTTTATTTTGTCATGCCAAAAGGCAAATTGTCGGCTGAAAAAAATAAACCTACAAAAAATAAATAGTACGAATAAGAAACACACGTGACTAACACAACGCGCACTAGTTTTTTTTAGTACCATATACATACATATGTACATATGTATTGTATTTATACACATGTAAGCACGTATGTAAACATAAACGTATGTATGCCAGTATGTAGTACGTAAGTCAAAGTCCTTTTCACTAAAAAATTCACTTTTGACCGACGTAGCGCGCCTACGAAATGAATGTAAATTATTGAGGGCACTTAAACTTTCAAGTGAAAAGTAGCCGCGGGACAGCACTTCAAATGGCGCTGAAACAGAAAGTGTTGATGACAGAATGGCGGCAGACGCCCGACAGTCTGTTTATAACACAACAAAGCAATTCGAATGCGAGGCTACCGGTAGGTACTCAACTTATTTTTATTTGCTTATGCTTCTCAGTTATTTAACTACTATGTACATAGTTAGGTTTGTATTTTCTTTGTATTTGTATTAATAAATATTTACTTTTCCAAGCAAGGCCTATCGTGGCGTGGCAGACACTTAGCAAACCGTCACTGAAACACTCAACTTTTTGATTTAGCTCTAAAGTCACACGACTCGTTGCTATATGAGTACCGCACGCGTTCGCTGTCCGTTGGGTTCTGCTGTGCCAGACATTGCGACGCTTCTTTAAAAACCCATTGCATATCCTTTCGTGTATTTTTCTTCAAGGGCGGCGAATTCAGGCCGAAAGCTTTGTTTGGTGGCGAATTCATTGCACGATGTTTCACGATTTGTGCCAGCTGGCGCTCTCAACTTCATGCCATGCAACAACTCTCTCAAGGACATTCGCTGCCATCAACTTGACAAATTTTACTCCGCTTTTTCTCCTCTTTCCCACACTGATTTTCCTCTTATTCATTTGCTTTTTTCGTAATAATTTTTCGCGTGTTGCATTTTTGTTTTTGTGCGGCTTTTCTTGTTTCAATTGTGTAATTTTTTTTTGTTTTTCTTACATTCGTCCCTTTCATTAAAGTTTTTATTTTGTGAGGTTTTTCATTTTGTTTTTCATTTCGCTCTGTCATCTAGCCGCTCAGCTGTTTTTTGGCCAAATAGCAACGCAATATTTCTAGCTTTCTGCAAATTTTTGTGTGCGTTTTCGTTAACTTCACAGATGTTTTACGCATAGGTTTATACTTACGTATGTACAAACATATGCATCTAAGTATTTACGAGTATATATGTGCACGCTAGCACGTTTCAAACTGTAGTTTTGTGCAAAACATCGCAGCTCACCCCCCAATAATCTTCANATGTTTCACGATTTGTGCCAGCTGGCGCTCTCAACTTCATGCCATGCAACTACTCTCTCAAGGACATTCGCTGCCGTCAACTTGACAAATTTTACTCCACTTTTTCTCCTCTCTTCCACACTGATTTTCCTCTTATTCATTTGCTTTTTTTATAATCATTTTTCGCGTGTTGCATTTTTGTTTTTGTGCGGCTTTTCTTGTTTCAATTGTGTCCTTTTTTTTTGTTTTTCTTACATTCGTCCCTTTCATTAAAGTTTTTATTTTGTGAGGTTTTTCATTTCGCTCTGTCATCTAGCCGCTCAGCTGTTTTTTGGCCAAATAGCAACGCAATATTTCTAGCTTTCTGCAACTTTTTGTGTGCGTTTTCGTTTACTTCACAGATGTTTTACGCATAGTTTTATACTTACGTATGTACAAATATATGCATCTAAGTATAAACGAGTATATACATATGTGCACGCTAGCACGTTTTAAACTGTAATTTTGAGCAAAACATTGCAGCTCACCCCCCAATAATCTTCGCTGGCACCCTTTTCATTTATTTCAACACAATTTTTGCTTTGACTCGCAAAATGGCTGCACTTGTATAAACGCATACTAATGCATTTACTACTCATATACTTCTTTGCCATTCATTAGTGTGAAATTTCATTTTCACTCAGCTCAACCCAATTCAACTTTTTTTGTGTAGATAGTGTTGCGACTTGAAATATCCTGTCAACGACAATGACATTAGCTTCGAGCATATTTCCTTCACTGACTTTTCTCTGTCACAAAGAAGAGTTTGGGACACGTTGATAAATGCTTCAAAGGCATACATATATGTATGTACATAAGTATGTGTGCGTGCATGGTATGCTGCAAATAGTAGAACACATTGCGTATGAACGCTTTATGAATAAAAAAATTAGTAGTGGGAAGAAAAAAACTGGTAAAAGTAGAGCAGATATGAATAAGGGCTTCAGTCATATGTAATTTGTTTACGATACTTCGAAGCGCTAATGTAATTACTTAACACTTTCCGGAAATTTAAAATTTCGTTGATGTGGAAAATCTTTTGTACAAAGTCAAATTGACATTTTTCAAAACAAATCAAACATATCTGTGTTCATATGGAAAAGTAGCTTATGTCGAAAGGCTGGCTTTAGTATAAATCGGCATTTGCAGCATACGATTGCGAATGACTCACTGGCGCTAAGCCGTTAAACAACTTTTGGCATATAAACGTGGAAGAAATAGTTCCCATACTAGCAAGTCAATATACTTATTAAGTCTCATCAAAAAATTCCTTGCCGTTTAAAAAATAAAGGGATTGCCGCATTATACTAAAGCCAGCATTTCGACATAAGCTACTTTTCCATACGAACACAGACTTTATTAAAATAAACCCGTCTGGAGGTTCTGTAAAAATTTCAAAATCCAAAATGCCTCATAAAATATCTTACAGTTAAATTTGAAAACTATAAATTTTTATAAATGCGCAAGCAAGTAATAGTATTGCAACGTATATCAGTAGTCCACTTGCAAAGTGCGCTATGTAAAATTTTTTAGATTCTTAGTTTTTTGTGGGTAACGTATCAGTATTTAAAGTAATATCATGTCCACTAACAACACTGTGCAAAATCTTTCTATATTCTGAAAAAATAGCACCAAGTGTTAACTACTCTTGCAAAAGTCGGTATGATACGTATTAATAAACTTTCAAAAGTCTCCATCTTCTGATGAACTTAGAAAACTGCTTTAGGTCGTATAGACTGTTGATGTTATGTTAGGTCATGCTATGTTATAATTTTATAAGGCTCTTATTTATTCAAATTTTCGGTTAAAAAAAAATATTCAACTAAAAAATTTGTTCTTATAGTAGTCGTTTTTTTTTTAATTTATGGCTTACTATTATAAAATCACTCAACGCTGTTTGCAAGTGAACTACTCACGACTGAACTATACTTATAAAGAGTTACATATGATTTAGAAAGGTATTTTGATGCTGATGTACAGAAAACTCATAAAACTTCAAATAAGGTTAACATAAAGTGAAGAAATCAACTCAAAAGTGACACCAATACCAGTGCCATAAATGTACATGGTTGGAGCGGAAATGCCACCTAAATGTATGCTTTAGTAATGATACTGAAATAGAGAAACATCCTCAAAAAAATTAAATTATTAAAAATTAAACACTTGATATAATGACAAATGTGGGAGTGAATACACAGATGAAGAAAATAAAAAATGTAAAAAGCGGCGTATAAGTAAAGTTAAAGCAAAGGTAAAATTGCAAAGGTAAATATACATATAAAGATAAACATAAAAATAACAAGCAAAAAAGTCCAAAATCGGGCGGAGCCGAACATTAAATACTCGGCGCAAGTATTAAACATAGTTTTTCACCTTTTCGAAAACTGCCGCCACATGGTAATCAGGAGCGATTTTACCCCTATTTCAAACATCTTCGTTAAAACGTTCAGTTAGACAAAACTAACTAACTGAATTTAACTATATAGTTATATGTGGGCGGTATCACGCCCATTTACAAAATCTACCTTAATAATTATTTATTTTTTTCAATGGATTGTTGTAAGTATCAATTTTAAGTAAATTTGCGTTCTTAAATTTCGAATTATCGAAGTTTCGTCCATTTCCGAAATTTACCTTTATATGAAAAGTGGGAGTAATTTTAGTCCGTTTCCAATAATTCTCAGCGTTTTGGTTTTATCTGGCAAACACTATAATCAAAAAGAGTTATGTACACATTGATCGAACGGGTTTAATTTCGTTAATATATCTAAATTTTTACTTAAGTTATCGTGAGCACAGGCGGACGGACGGACAGACAGTCACGGCTTTATCGATTTGTTTTTACATGGTAATCAATATATACATTTTTCTATATCTATCTCGATTCGATTTGCCTGTTACAAACAACCGTTATGTGAACAAAGTTATAATACCTTTATGCACAAGTGTGTCCGATTACTTCTGAAGCACGAGTGGCATTCAACGGATTATTTTCAAACTCGGATTTCGACTAAGCAAAATGCAGTCAATAGCATTCGGAACGAGCTGGATTGCAAAGCGAGCCTTCGAAGGGTTTCATTTCTCTTCCATCTTTGAGAACTTCTTTATTTTAAAAAACTTTCATAGTAGCCTTTTTATTTAAAGAGTCTCGTGTAGCAGATACATTCCCTCATACAAAGAGCAAACATTTTTTTTGCCGTAGTTTCGCCTAATGGACATATTCTCCTTTCACAAAAGTTGAAAATTGCATACACGCCACGGCTCATTGCAGAGGTAAAAGTACGCGAGAAAAAACGGTAAGCTACGAAAATTTTCTTGTTGATTTTGGAATCCATATACGTAAACAAATTTTGGAGTTAAATAAAAAAAAAAATACAATTTAAAGACGAAATTCGTGATAAAAGTAAAATTAGCTGCTCTACTGCTGCTACCTATTCAATTTGCGTTGCTCCGCATAGAATATTCAACGTGAAATGCGTTGAAAAAGCCTTTGAAAAGCTAAATATTAGTGAAATTTCTTTTAGAAATTTTAACAAAAATCATTAACGTCTAATTTCTATTCATACCCACAAATACCCAGTTTTTCTACGCAAAATTATAACTTTAGAAACTATCTACATACATATGTGCTTCTCGATTCGAATCACAAGCGTCCAGATATAAAAATAAGTTATCGAATATGGGGCATTAATAGAAATACACAATTATTATAAGGCCATAAATAAGAAGACAAAAAAAGTAAACTTTCAAATATAAATGTTTTCAAAAAACGAAGCTCCAATGATAGTATTTCTAAATTACCTAAAACATTTAGAAATCTTGAATTAAAAATCACACCAAATTATAAATTTCTATATATGCCTGTATGTACAGTGCCGCACTAAATTTTTTGCACAGAGAGTTTTTCATAATGTGTGCAACATTTTTTACCTAAAAGTTCCGGCATAAAAAAATCTCGTAACTTTGTGCAAAACTCAGGAAAATTCAATAAATTTGCCTACACGTTCGCATTTTAGTATAACAATGTGCCGGTTAGAAGTTAGTAAAAAATTGTGTTGATCTTTTCGAATTTATTTGCAGGTAGTTTCTTCAGTTTGGCTCCTTTCAGAAATACTTGGAGTTTAAAATACTATTTCACTTAGGTCTCTACTGATTTTTGATCGCTAGATATTTGCTTTTATATATAACTTTTTTTTTAGTTGAATTTTGACCTTGGAATTCAAGGTCGAGAAACTGTTTTTGAAGAACCTGAACAATTTTCCCGTATTCACCAGTATTTGGGCTTTATAATGCCGTTTAGCTTGTATCTCTGTCTGGTTTG